TTTTTTTTTTTTCCTTCCCCTCCCCCATGGGTTCCTGTTAAGTTTCTCAGGATCCACATAAGAGTGAAACCATATGGTATCTGTCTTTCTCTGTATGGCTTATTTCACTTAGCATCACACTCTCCAGTTCCATCCATGTTGCTACAAAAGGCCATATTTCATTTTTTCTCATTGCCACATATGTATTTCTAATGATTATACTAATACATATTCATATCAAATCAAATTCATCTTTATACCTTAAACCCATCTTTGTAGTTTTTGCCAGCAGAATGCAATGACTAATACTCCCACCCAAAACAGATTGCCAAATTTTTACAATTCCTTTCTCATGCAAATAGGTCCTGAAATACTACCTTGCTATGCATCAGTATCTATCACACAGAAATCGTATAAAAGACTTCCTTTGATTTGTCCTTACCCAGTTGTACTACTCTGATCAATAGATATAGCACTTATGTTTTAATTTGACTCATTTTGTTATGTATTGTTTCTTTTAAGTTTGCCCTTTTGAATGTCCTTTCTATCTATTTGCCTTAATGTTCAATGTGAAATTTTAAGAGTGAGCTAGAGCTTGGTTTATTTAAATTGATCTGTAGAGTGTCCAGCAGCCCCCTACGCAAAAGAGCACTTAATAAGTGCCTTTTCATTAATTGAAAATGTACATATTATCATCCAAATGAAAAATTGATCAATTAAGGCTTTCTGATGGCTAAAGTATATTATCTAGGTGCCAGATCCTAGGAGTGAGATAAGGAAAAATGATGACGGCTTGCATTGGAGGGAAAATTACTGTAATTGTCTATTTAAATTAATGTATTAATATGTGTTTGAAATTCTGGTATTAACTGTTTAGGTTAGTATTATTCCAGTATGGTTTTCATAGAATCACCATTTTACATATTTTGTATTTTATATATATTTTATATATCATGTTAGTGGTCAAGGGAAATGTGATAGAAAATATTGAACATATTTCTATCTTCAGTCAACTGAGAATATTAAAAAAATATATAAGAAACTTCTGACTCATTATCATTATTTTTCCCTGAAGGAACATATGATGTGAATTTTAAATGACCAAGATCGGCGCATAAAACACGTAAGTATGATAGAACACTATGATTTTGAAGTCATATTCTCCATTTCTTCAGGAGCACAGCAGGTAAGAGAAAATTTTCTTTTGATCTCTCTCCTTCACCACCCCGCCCTTATTCTGTTGACCTTGTGACTCTACCATCAAAGCTAAGTATTGGTCTCAACTGTAACTACTTACTGGCATCATGGGGTACTTCACAGTGCACTTTAATGTGATGTTAAAATTTTAATATGAGGTAGAAATGAGAGCCAACTTTTCTTGCCAATGTCAGTAAGCTAAAGAATTAATTGCAACATCAGGGGGAAAGATAAAAAGAAAACACCCCAGGCTTACCAATATTACTGAGTCACCATTTTTGCTGACAGAAGTGGGTATTGGTTCCTGTCAACCCTTTAGAATGAGCACCTCAAAGTATTATTTTATTCTCCAGGCTTTGACTTTATTGAATTAATAGCATAAAATGAATCCCTCCTTTCCCTTCACCTCCCATATTCCAGTTATTAAAACACAAAACCATGTTTCCTTAGGACCTAGGTGAATCTTAAATGCTATAAATACGACTTCTAAACACGAGGGAGATTATTCAATAATGACACTAGTTGCTCTTGGCTTTGGCTGGGGCACCTGGAGCCTCCATGGCTCTGGTTAGCAATTCTCTTGGTCTCTGCAGAAACCACTCATATTATGCCTTGAATTCTAATCCCTTTATTAATGTCATAAAAAATTAAAATGAGGATAAATGTCCTGTTAAGGGCTACAGTTTAAGGAGAAGGCAGGCAATCCAGACTGGGACCATTTGAAGGGGACACTGGTTGTAATCATAACTGAGAAGTATATTGACATAATGGAAAGAGCAAGTCGTTGGGGTCAGAGTCCTGGCCTCTCTGCTTAACAGCTGTTTGCCTCTGAGTGAGTCATCTAACTTCCCTGAGCCCCAATTTTCCTGAGGGTAAAACAGAGATAGTCCCTCCTACTGTGTGAGATTGTTTATATATTGAGATAATATGTGTAAAATCATTAGCATAATTCTTTGAATATACTAGTTACTCAAAAATTGGAAGCTATTAATAAACTCTCACTTTAAAATATTCAAAATATTCTTTTCAATAGACTTGAGAGGGCCCCTATGTACCATTGTTCAGGGCATCTTAATGTACTGATCATATGCTGTACAACTTTGGAGGCATAGTGCATGTCAAGTCCAGAATCTCCTTCCCATTTTGCAAATGTAGTAAATAAACTTTTAAGGGAGTAAAAGAAATGCCCCAAATTGCATAAGTAGTAAGTGGCAGAACTAGATCTTAAACTTCAGCCATCTATTTTCAAAACCATTGTTCTATTTACTATTTACCCATGAATCCAAAGGTATTTAATTCCTTGAAGGCATTGCTCTGGGAACTGGAGACACAGCAGTGAAAAAAACTGTCATAAATAAATAATAACCCCCATGGAGCTTTCATTTTAGTAGCAGGACGTAGATGGCAAGTGGAAAAAAAAAATATATATATATATATTACATCAGAAAATGAAAAGAATTTTGGAAAACAGTAAAATAGGGAATGGGGTAGAGTGTGCTGGGGAAAAGGGAGGGCACCTTCGTCGATGAGATGGCATTTGAGCAAGAAGGAAGGATGTAAGGTGGAGGTGGGGGGCAGCAGGTTGACCTCTGGAATCTGAGAAAAGAACATTCTAGGGAGTGGAAATAGCCAGTGCAAAGGCCCTATGTTTGGGTAAGAGTAAAAAGTCCAGTGTAGCTGGAGCACGCTCAGCAAGGGGAACCCCAAAGAGATGAAGTCAGGTGAGGGCGTGTGTGCAATGACAGAGGCAGAACAGCCAGGTTATATTGGGCCTTGTCTGCTGTCCTAGAGACTGGCTTTTATTCAGAGTGAAACAGAAGCCACTGAAATGTGTTGAACAAAAGCATGAGGTTCTGACTCAGTTTCTGATAGGTCGTTTTTGCTGCTTGATTGTGAACAGTGTGTGAAGTGTGTGAAGCACAAGGGTGGTTAGGAGGCTTCTGTTACTGTAGTCCAGGCAGGAGGGGATGAAGGCTCAGGGGTGGTCATGCGGGTAGAGAGAAACAGAATCTGGAATATATTCTGAAGGTAGAACCAACATGTTTATTATTAAAAGATTGGAATGTGGGGTATGAGAAAAAGGGGAAAGTCAAAACGACACCAAAGTTCTTGGTCTGAACAACTAGACGGGCAGATTTGCCATTTACTGAGATGTCAAAAATTTAGATGGGGTACGTGGGTGGCTCAGTAGGTTAAATGTTCAACTTCAGTTTAGGTCATGATCTCACAGTCTGTGGGTTCAAGCTCCATGTTGGGCTCTGTGCTGACAGCTCAGAGCCTAGATTCTGCTTCTGATTCTGTGTCTCCCTCTCTCTATGCCCCTATCCCACCCCTGTCTCTCAAAAATAAATAAGCATTAAATTTTTTTTTAATTTAGAAAAGCAGATTTTGAGGATAAATTAGCGATTTGGCATCACAAGAAAATATAAGCACTAAGACTATTTCTCAGAAGAATTCAAAGACCACTATAACCTTCTGAAAAAGCTATAAAATTCTCTAATATAATAATCACTTATTTGCTAATAAAGATACTGATGTAATAATCTTTCCCATAAATCACATGTGACCTTAATTTAATAACCAAATATTTCTTTTGCTGAAAAGTTTCAGATTTTCAGGCATTTCAAAGATCATTTGATGAAATTCATCACACTGAATGTCTTATAATGTTATTTATTTTAATAAAAAATCATGCATATTTAAAATACAGGCAGAATACAGAAGTATAGCCATGTGAAATGAAGACGAAATCAAACAATAAATACACGTAATGATCCTTCTAAATTGTTGAGTGCTATCCAGTTATGGATAAGCAAGTTATTTTATTTCATAGAAGAAAAAAAATGAGGCTGTATCTGTAACTTCCTTACCATTTCGTAAGTAACCATAGAAGCTTGAAATACTCGAAATCTCATTCCCGGGAATTCTTGCCTTGTTGTGCACAGATTCCATTTTGAAAGACCTGTGGGGGAAAAAAACAAAGGATATTATTAAAAATGTATGAAAAGTATTTTAGAAATCAATTGAAGAGTGCACGACCACTTCAAAAAATTCAGGAACTGAACACAGATTATTTTTAGCAATGTTGTCCACATTAATGTCTTTGGTAAATCTTTATTTCCCCACTTTGTTCCTACCCGGAACCTTAATCCCTGTTGAATTGTGAACCTTAGTTTATACCAGAATTACCTTGTGACTCACTTTTGTAGGAGTCCCACTATGTTAAGTCCTGTAATTTGTGGCTAATGCAATGAATTTTTCAATCCTAAAATGTTGATATCTGCCAAAGAGTTCTCCCCAGGTACAATAAGGACCTGATGGAGGCAGGCTTTACACTAGTGCCAGTGATTTAATCATAGGAACTTTGAGATACTCTTCAGGAATACTCTCATAGGCAGATGGCTTTTTCCTTAAAATGCATTTACGTCATGTACCCAGTTAAGTACACCAGGATTTTCTCAACCTTCACAACCACAGTGAAATGTTAGCGAAACGGCCAAATCTGTTGGAAGGATTTGGTGTGACAAATCCAATACACGTTATTTTGATTTCCTAAAAAATGACATACAGTCCCTGACAGCAGATCAAAGTTGAAGTGACTATTTTATGGAGGCAGTCTCTAATCCTGACACCTCTACTCAATGATTTTTTTCTTAATGAAGAATTTTGTAAAGAATGAACTAATGTATGACAACAATTTTAAGGCCATTTAGTGGAAAGCATGCTGAAAGCCCTTAATCTCCCTTTAGGACACCAGACACATCCTCTACATTCTGTACCTCTTATCAGGAGCAAACTCAGAATGAAAACTTCCAGCCAACAGTAACTCATCAACTTAGTGGGGTCATGATTAGGCAAATATAATTTGTTAGCAGCCTAGTTTTTTAAGAATTTGAAGAAATCTTAGTAGTCACCTATCCCATCCACTTCATATCCTACATGAGGAAAGCCAGGCCCAGAGGGGCTAAGTGACTTGTCCAAAGCGACATGGCTAGTTAAACAACAAAACCAGGATTTATTCCCAGGTTTTCTGGCTTCAGGCTGACGGGATTTTTGTTAACCATATTTAAGTGCTTTGTAATTTTCTTAGTACTAGAAGGGAAAATAAAAGAAGCCTATTTGAGATTTAAATGTGTGTGTGTATATATAACATATTTATATTTTATATTTATAAACAGAAAAAAAGAAAAGAGGAAAATTAAGTATGCAAATCACAGAAATTTACCAGTCTGTTTCCTCCCTCTTAAGGCCACAGAACAGAAAATGGGAAATGCTATAGTATAGAATCATTATAATGGAAGGAAGCATAACACTGAATCCTATGTAATCCACATAGACTTGCTACCCAACTTGCTAGGTCTACTGAGGGCAGAAACTGTGCCTATTATATAGTGCCTGGCACAGATACATGTTGAACTGAGCTCCTATCACATAACAGAAATGTCAAGGACCATTTACCACCATGTAGTAGGCACTTGAGACAATGTCTCTTCTGTGAAAGCTTTCTGTTGGTTTCATCTCACACTAACTATTCTCTTTACCCTGGCCACCAAAATACTTATCTATACTACAAATATTTTTCTTCATTCCTTTGCCCTACTTCAGTGTTTCTATTTATTTCATGTGTATTATTTTTATCATTTGAATTAGTTCCTACCCAAATGAGACATTTATTTATACTTCCTCTGTAGGCTAGTGCCAAGGATATATTCAGTAAGCACCTGAATTCAATCCTCTAACATCATACAATGAAAAGCTATGCTAATTTTAGCAATGGAAGAAGGTAAACACACAGAGTTAAGTTTAGTAATTAATGCGGCTCTGGAATTAGAATGGAGCTCTGCTTTGAATCAGCCTCTAAGGAGGTGAATTTGTCTTGAAGATAAATTCTCAAGACTCAATGCCCTCATCTTTACAAGGAGCAAATTAATAATACCTATATGCCAGCTTTGCATATTAAATGAAATCATGTAAGTGCTTACATGGTGACTAATAGATATTAAACATGCAAAAAACAATAGCTATTGTTACTAAACTGTACTTTTTGTAAATGAATTACTGATAGCTTCCTCTAGTTTAATACACCAAAGTATAAATTAAATGGTGGGATTTCAGGTATGAAATTTTAAAACTTTTTCTGATGATATATGAAATACATTATTATTGGCATTTACTTAAATGTTCTTTGTTCATATTTAATTCACAGCAAGTAAAACGGATTTCAACGTGTGTATGAATCAATCTATCTATCATCCACCTTTCTATCTACCTATCTATTATTTCATTCATCATCCAACACTATGATTTTCCTGGCACATATTATGAAAGCAATATATATTTGTTGAATGAATAAATTTTAAAATATATAGATTTATTGCCCAGATTATCCTCTAATCTCAATGAATTAATAGCAAGATTTTTCTTAAATGTGTTTTAAGCTAAAGGAGTTGCTGCATATTTAGTCTTCACTTAGGAGACTAAAAGAAAGGAGGATGGAAAGGAGGGCGGGAGGTTAGAGAGATGAATGAATACAGCAAATAATGATAATTTTTAATGTCCCAAATAACAATAGTCAAAATCTTTATGCATGTCTTACCTGTCAATTCCACATGCCAACTCTAAAGGTGTGTTAACTAACTTATTAACTGCAAATAGTCTGTTCAATAAATAAACTATAGTGTTTAGGGTGTTTGACTCTTGCGAAGAATCACAATTATTTTCCAGTCCTCTTGGCATCCCAACTTGGTTTGGAAGAGTGGACATGTATTTATTTGACAAGTCCAAAACTTTTTTGGAAAATAAGTTTACTTTTGAATAGTCTTTTTTCATTTCGGCATTGCATAAATCCCAACCCGGCAGCATCAATGAGAAGTGATTCTCATTTGAGGCAAGTCCTAAAGAAACAGAACCCTGAAGCTTTAAAATATCTAGATGCTTAAGGCACAGATTATCAAATTCTTTATCTACTCCCCACGGCAAAAAGCAAGAGAGGAACAATTTAGCTGTGTCTATCGTGACGTTGGCATCCACTTTTCTTGATGGCTTGGGGTGCATCTTTTTGGAGTTCTTTATTTTCTTCTGCCTTTTAATGCCTTCATTATCTCCTAAGGATTTGGCAGTATTCTCTCCCTGGGCTGGGTTCTCACTGACAGGCTTGGCTTGTGCCTCTGCTGAGAGAGAACCAGAGGCAGTTTTATTTCTTTTCAGAGTCAGTGTTTTCTTCTCAACTGTGCTTTTGGCTCTTCTCAGGATCTCACTACCATAGAATGAATTGGAAGGGTCAACGTCACAGACTGGAGTTGGCAGCAAAAGTTCAACAAGGTTTTCCAGATCAAATAGAAGGATATGAAAGCCAATGTCACTCCATCTTGTCTTCACAGGCAAGACATTAAAAGGTCCTGAGAAAGGCTTGACATCAGCAACCTAAAGGAGATTTAAAAAAATATATGTGTGTCAAAGTTCTTATTTTTAAGTGATTTTATTAAAGTGTCTATGATATTAAAATGGCATAAAAAGAAAGTATTAAGTAGCAGTACAACTAAAGGCAAGTCATTTGAATTTTTTTTGTCTTAGCTCTAAACATTCCCCTCTAAAGTAAACGTTCTATATTCTTTTTTTTTTTTTTTTTTTTTTTAATTTATTTTTGGGACAGAGAGAGACAGAGCATGAACGGGGGAGGGGCAGAGAGAGAGGGAGACACAGAATCGGAAACAGGCTCCAGGCTCTGAGCCATCAGCCCAGAGCCTGACGCGGGGCTCGAACTCACGGACCGCGAGATCGTGACCTGGCTGAAGTCGGACGCTTAACCGACTGCGCCACCCAGGCGCCCCTAAACGTTCTATATTCTAATAGTTCATAAAAAGTTATTTTTTCTTCCTAAGTCTTTTATTTTTCCTCTTAAAAAATGTGAATTAGGCCTATGGAGTAAGATGGCATCAGATTTATGTCCTCTAATATATGATTTCATGTTTTCATATCAGCATAGCCATGAATATACAACAGGGAAAAAGTGGGTTTGAAAATTAAGGAGAAGAATAGAACATCTGCAAGAATTTAGGAAGTCTTGACAAGAATTTTCTCACCAAATTTGTTTAAAATTTTAAATATTTGGAAGTAACCTAAATGTTAACCAATATCATATAACTATTTTTTGTAAGCTTTGCCTAACAAACTTGCATTTATTATTTCTCTGCCTAAAATGATTTTGCCCAAAATATTGGCATGGTGGGCTCTCATACTTCAGTTATGTTTCTGTTCATTAAGAGGCCTTCCTTGAGTGCCCTCTCCCCTCACACCCATTAGTCTCCATCCTCTTCCTTGCTTTTTTTCTTCCTAGTACCTCTGGTTACCTTGTATAACATAAAATATTACTTGTTTACTGTATATTTTCCCCAGTAGCATTCAGACTCCACCTTTGCAGGAATTCTGTGCATTGTTTTGCCCCTAAGGCCTATAAAATGATGCTGCTATATAGTTACTAAGGAACTCAGTCAGTATGTGTTGACTGAATGATTAACGTATGTATGCAATGGAATACCATTAAAATATTTTAAATGTTTAAAAATTTTTATTTTAGAGAGAGAGAGAGAGAGAGAGAAAACAAATGGGGAGAGGGGAAGAGAGAGAGAGAAAGAGAGAGAGAGAGTATCAAGTAGGCTCTGCACTGAGCAGGGAGCCCAAAGTGGGGCTCCGTCTCACTACTGTGAGATCATGACCTGAAATCAAGAGTTGGATGCTTAACTGACTGATCCACCCAAGTGCCTCAACATTAAAATATTTTAAAATGATGATGTAAAACTTTATTTATTGAGGAAAAAATGTGATGTGTGCTCTGTTAAGCAGAAAAAATAATCCTCCTTTTGTAAAACTACGTGTGTGTGAATATATAATTTTATATATTGATATAAATATATGTAAGTATATGTATATATACACATATATTTAATATATAAATAAATGTATGTATACATTATGTACAGTTAATATATATAGTCAACATAAATATATATAATATATACTCACACACACACTATATATATAAAATATATGTTTTATATACAGTCATAAAAGGCATGCACCAAAATTAACAATAGTTAATTGGAAAGAGAGAATTAAAAGGGTTTTTATACCTTAGGGGTTTTTTGCAATTTTTTGCATTGATATCTTTAATTTATGACCATAAAAAAGAAAGCTTAAAAAATCAACCATTAAAACAATTTGAAGGTGAAAAAAAATGGGGCAAATTAAGAAAAATAATGTATTTCCATTAATAAGTACAAAGTTTAGTATAATTATTAATAAATGATTTTTGCAAATCAAAATATAGTACCATACAGTTTGAAAAATGAGCAAGTAACATCAATAGCAATTCACAAAAATAACATCCAAATTAAAGTAGGAAAAGAAAAAAAAAATAAAACGTTTACTACCAGTAGTAACCAAAAAGTGAAACTAAAATAGTAATAGCATTCATTACCTACTAATTTGGCAAAGAAGGCTTCTTACATTATTTATTATTATGTAATGTTTAGTACATACAAAATAACATGTAGGCCGTTAATTTAGTTCTTTTAGGACCTAACATCAATGTTGTATATGAAGAAACATGGGCATAACTATATAGCATCATTATTCATAATTGCCCCAGACTAGAAGCAACCTAAATGCCCACCGACAATGGAATGAATAGAGACATTGTGATGTATCCAGGCAATGAAAAAAATAAGCAACAGTGAAAATGACAAAACTATAGACATTCAACAACGTGGAGAATGTGTGATTCTACCAGCATAATGTTGACCAAAGAAGCCAGACACAAAATAATTAACCGTATGACTTTATTCATGTTAAGTTTGAAGAAAACAGGGGCAGGGGCACCTGGGTGGCTCAGTCATTTAAGCAACCTACTTTTGATTTAGGCACAGATCATGATCTGGAGACTGGTCATGAGATGGAGCCCCAAGTTGGGCTCCATGCTGGGCATGGAACTTGCTTAAGATTCTTTCTTTTCCTGTCCATTGCCCCTCCCCCACTCTCTCAATAAACAAAGAAACAAAAAAAATAGAGGCAAAACACCCTAAGGTTTAAGGATGTATGCACAGATATTAAATCTATAAGGATAGTAGTTACTTTTTGAGGATAGGAAGGACATAGTTTCTACAGTGCTGAATATTTTATTACTTAATCTACGTAGTGATTATGTAGGTGTCTGCTTTGAGGTAATTCATTGTGCTACATTTTTGTCCTATGTTATTTTTTCTACAGTTTATACGTTGCATAGTAAATAATGCCTATGAAATATGAAAGGAATGTTAACAAAGTGCCCCCATCCAACTAAAAAACAGAACCAGACCTGATTCTATACCCTTGACTGCTTTCAGAGGTAACCAATATCTTGAATTTCATGTTTATGATTTCTTTGGTTTTATTTATTTATTTATTTATTCATTCATTTAATGTCTATTTATTTTTGAGAGGGGGGAGAGGTGGAGAGAGAGGAAGACACAGAATCTGAAACAGGCTCCAGGCTCTGAGCCGTCAGCACAGAGCTAGATGCGGGGCTTGAACTCCCGGACCTTGAGATGATAACCTGAGCTGAAGTTGGACACTTAACCAACTGAGCCCCCCGGGCGTCCCTCTTTGGTTTCATTTAATGTCTTAACCTTAAATAGTCCAACTGACCATTTTTTTTTGTTTTTTTTTGAATTTTGATATAAATATTAACATTTTTTCCAATTTGCTTTATTATGCTGAAATTTATATTTCTAGGATTCGATGATTATAGCTGTAGTTCTTTCATTTTTGCTGCTGTAAAATATTATGCTATATGATAATACAGTTTATGTATCTATTGTTTTTAAGTGGCCATTTAAATTATTTGCAAGATTTACTATTGCAAAAAGAAAAAAAAGTTACAGTGAATATTCTTCTGGTAAAGACTTCTGGTTCACATTTGCAAAAATTTCTAGAGTGACAGTGATAATTCATAAGACATGCACTTCTTTAACTAGGAGATTATCCCAAATTCTTCTTCCAAGTGATTTGTACCAATCTGTGAATCTCAGTACCATTGTATGATGAGTTTCCATATGCCACATCATCATTAATACAGGATCTTATTTTTGTCAATATAGGGGGTATAATTTGGTATCCCTTGTAGTTTTAATTTTCATTTCTTTAATTATTACCATTAACTGAGTATCAAGGCAATAGTTCATTGGCCTTTTCATGATTGTTCTATAAAGTACCTACCTATGGCTTTTGTAAACCTTCTATTTATCCTTTTATTATTGATTTTAGGGTTATGTATTTATTCGAGAAGTTATCTTTTGCTGGTTATGTGATCCACATACCTTCTATTTGTGGCTTGTCTTTACATTATTTTTTAAAAGCGTTCTCTGATAAACATTGAGTTCCTATTTTACTACTGTCAAACTTAGGAAACATTTACTTTAAAGATTATATTTTCTGTGTCTTCTTTACAAAGAAAAATGAAAACTTTCCCTATTCAGAGGAAATAAAAACATTCACATATACTTATCCCAAAATTTAAAGTTTCACACACTTTTTGATTCTTTAATACTTTTTCATTTTTGTGGTGTGCTTACACTAGGAAATTATTTTCATACTTTGTACCTTGATATCCAATATTCCAATATCATTTGTGAATCTCTTCTTTTCTCACTGATCTGCTGCCTGGGACTTGAATCAATTTACCTAGGACTCAGGACATTCCATAGTATCCATAGCTTTACAAAAAGACTTCAGATCGGGTGGATAGGTTCTCCTATCTTGTTCTTCCTATGATCTTTTATTCTTTCATATAAATTTGAGGATGCTTGTCAAGTTCCAGATTGTATCTCACGCTTACTTAGACCATGCTTAATTTCTTTTGCTAGTTTAATGATTGTTCAGAGGGATGTTTATATTATTTGCTTATCATTTTTTTAAAACTTTCTGTAGCTATGGGTCTGTTTTCATTTCTGATATTAGTTTGTTGCTTTTGTTGTTTTTTTTCTTGCCAGAAGTTTGTCAATTTTTTTTGTTTTTTAAATATGAAATTTATAGTCAAATTGGTTTCCATACAACAACCAGTGCTCATCCCAACAGGTGCCCTCCTCAATGCTCATTGCCCACCCTCCCCTCCCTCCCACCCCCATCAACCCTCAGCTTGTTCTCAGTTTTTAAGAGTCTCTTATGTTTTGGCTTCCTCCCTCTCTGACCTCTTTTTTTTTTTTTCCTTCCCCTCCCCCATGGTCTTCTGTTAAGTTTCTCGGAATCCACAAAGAAGTTTGTCAATTTTGATATTCTTTTCAAAGAATCAAATTTTGACTTTGTAGATCATCTCAATGGAATAATGTTTTTCTTAGAAGGTCACTTCACTGAGTATACTATTTTAATTGGACTTATTTTCTCACAGCATT